CAGCTAGTGTCGGGTGTTGTGGTGCGGCGATGCGGCCCGCTGCGCATGCTGTTGGGCAGTTGTGGCTGACGGGACACATGCGCAGCGGTGGGCGTCGCCGCCGCGAGCAGGAAGAGCAGCCCGGGAGCGGGTCAGCTTGCTGAAGCGGATGCGGACCCAGGGGCGGTTTGCTTCAAGGGGTGTGTCTGCCCCTTCAAAATAGAACGACAGGTCTGCCGACAACTTGCAGCAGTGGGGTTCAACTCCGGATAGGACGCCACATGTGCATCATGCGGTGCCGAAATCAACGAAGCACCGTGCCAACGCCGGCGACAGCCGTGTGCCCGTTAGTTCACGGCTCGCTTTTGCTGAACCCTAGCAGGAATGCGGCTGCGCGCGGACTGGCCCCCGCCCGCCTCCAGCCGTCACAGCCAATAACAAATCAAAACTTTGCGAATGTTTGGGCACACGCGTCCCAGGTTTGCAATGGACCCACCCTATCTGGCCTGCAGGGGAGGCGTGGGGATGGGCGATGCAATAATGCGTGAGTGTGGTGGCGCGTGCAGTTCGCAGCGGAACACCAGGCGGTGCAGACTCTCTGCATACAGCCCGATGCGGGTGTCTAGAGAACCCCCGAAAGCATCAACATGGCGATCCGGAGGCCAGACGTGGCGCGTTCAGGGCGGGTGCACTCAGCCAATGTCAGTGTCGACATGATCTGGCCAGTCGCGGACTGATGTGTACCTCATCCCGTATGATACGAGAGACAGACGCGCACCCGCCGCGCCCGTGATCAGGACTCGCTTAGCAGCCGTCATGGTGTGGGATCCCGTGTCGATGCGTCACTGTGTGTATAGTAGAACTGAAAGTAAAAGCCTCTGATTGAAAGACTCCGTGCTACGCATTCAACGGCTTGCCACCCATCTGCGGCCTTGTTGCGGTGCCGCCGCCCTGCACTGACGCGCCCTCTGGGTGCCAGTGAGGCCACGCGCCCCTGGGCTGGGGGCAGGGGGGCCCCTCTTCTCCTTAGCGCCCCGGCAAGCGGCTGGCCTGAGATGCCTCGATGCAAATCCATTCGCATCCAACGCCGACAGTCGTCTACGCACCATTGACCGTCCAGACCCAACCCAGCCCGCGACGCCATGAGTTTTCGAGGCACCCCAGTTTCACAAGTGGAGGCTTACACGCCGCCTGGCAACCCCCGCCGCAGTCGATATGGTTGTGCAGCACGCGCTGTCTGCCGCGGCTGCTGCAGTTCTTGAGTCGCACCGGCTGCAGTGACCGCCGCAAGGAGTCCCCATATCGCGAGGAGCCCACTCCCCTCGCCCCGCACACGCAATCGGCGCGCCCGCGCCCAAAAAATAGACGCGCCGCGCGGCCCCGCCGAGTGCCGCACGCCGCCGTCAGACAGAAAAGGGGCCACGGGTGGCCCGGCTTGAGGCGTGATGCATGCATATCAGAATCCCCTACTGCTGGCGTGCGTGCATGGGGGCCGGCGGCACCGGCCCCGAAGTGGAAAGCTGGGAGGCGCGCGGTGTGATGCCCCGTGATATCTTGTCGCTTGCTGGCCCTCACAAGTGCCGCTGTTCGAAACAAGGCAGCTGCGGCCGTCCCCAGGAGGGGGCACGGCCATATGACCAGCGGGGAGTCTCAAAAACCACAGTCTCACTCTGCCGCGCGGCGCGGCAAGAAAGCGGGTCGAAGCACATGCACGGATGGCGAAACCCGGGCGGCGCGTCTTGAGGCCCCTCGTGCGGGGCCCGCCGGGGCCGGGCGCGGCGGCAGGGGACGCGTTGCTGGCTTCCCCTCCCCAAGGACCGCCGTCTTGCTCAGACGGGCCGGCCCGAGGGGAGAGGCTTCCGACCTGGCTGCTCTCAGACACAGATCACAGATAGCCAGGAGATCTTTATTGCGAGACGATGGAATGCGGCGCGATAGAGTCCTGCGTGAATGATGGCACCTGTGCCGGTTTCAGGGTGGGCCTCGCTGTCGCAGCCAGTGCGGCCCGCGCGACCCCGGCCGCGCCGAGCGCATCTCAGCGCCGCAGGTGGGGCAGCAGGCGGCCGAGCATGCCGCCGCCGGCAACGTCCATCTGCTGGGCTGCCGCGGCCGCCTTGGCCAGCGCGGGCGGGCCCACCACCACCACTGACGCCTGGCCACCGGCCGCGGCCGCCAACGCGGCCAGAGGCGCCTTGGGGCCGAGCGCGGGCCCGGGCGGCGGCCCGGCAACCTGGTCGCTGCTCGCCTTCACATGGCTGGTGTCCAGCGCGGCGGCCTGCGGCTGCTGCGCCTGCCAGCCCCCCGC